TCTAGGGTCCCAGTCCAGGGTCCCAAGATGATTCACCTCCCTGACAGCTTGAGCCTGCATTGACTGGTACATGGACAGACTCTCACCCAGATCTTTGGTACTGAATCACTGTAAACTTGCAGGTACAAAATTACTATGTATTTTACCTAGATTTTGACTGGCTTGAGTCCAATCTTTAATGAATGACTTGGAAAAAAGCCTGTAAGTAAGATATAGAGAGATATATATAGAGAGAGAGATATATATAATTTTTATTTTTAGAGCTTTCCTAAAACATAGGAAAAATAAAAGGACTAAACAGCTAGCTAACTAAATTTGCAGGTAGGCCCAGCAGTGTGTGATGAATATCAAAAGTCAGGGTACGTGATGTTTGTCAGTTAAGCAGCTTTTGTTTCCTAAATTGGCTTTTCAGGACTGTTCCATTTCATGCACTATTATACTGCATCCCGAATTACAAGATGCTCTTTAACTTCTGGTCACAATAGGAAAATATGACAGATTTGTCAATATACAAAAGTGCATCCAAAACTGTCTATTGACTCATTTTTGACTTAAACATGCGCTCCCATAGATTTCAACAAAAATTGCTTGGGCATAACAAATGGTTTTGTTTAGCAGAATTTTTCTGTATTTCCATTTAAGCAGGTTCTAAATATATGGAAGATAAATGATAAATTATCTTTGTTGCACTGGGATTAGCAGTGTCATCAGACTGATAGCAATATCGTTGCTATAAATTGGAAGATGGACAATGATTTTTTTCTAACTTAACGTCCTGAAAAGATACTTAAATCATTATCTGAGGTATGTGTGAGTGCCAAAAAATCATGCTGTATGAAATACTGAGAAAAAAATTATCAAAATGTTAAGGCATAATAAAACGGTACATTAGACTTGGAAGTAAATATATGATTTTCTTTTTAAAAGCAATATTTTACTGCATTCAAATAAACCCTTTTGAGAAATCTCTATTAAAAAAAAATCATTATTATCATGAGTACTGGCCTGGAACATTAGAAAGAAATTTGATTCACAAATGTCAAAATGTTCTGTGTTTACTTTTAGAAGCAAAGTGGTTTTGCTTGGCTCAACTCAGCTTGACCTGCATGCACTGAATGTACTTCCAATGCCCAAATACTGTGATTCAAGTGTCTTTTGCTCCCTTTCTTCTCTGTGGCTTGTAGTCCATCATCAATCTATAGCTCCTCTGAAGCACTGTTTCAGAGTTGCAGAACAGAAGAGTATCACAGAAAAGGCTGTCTACAAAGAAAGAAAAACACGGAGAATGATGGCTTGAGGAAACTGTACTATAATTGTTGTGAGACTTGACACGAGTTTCTGCTAGACAATCTAAACCAAAGTATCTTAGTCAATTTGACACATGAAATAGTTTTACCCTGGGATGCCATGGCTTTCTAAATCAACATCATTTGTTTCTTTTTTTTTTTTCTGAAAAGAAAATTAAAACTAGAATTTTCTGGCACAAACCAGCAGTTTTAAGGAAACTACATTTCCCATTGATAAATGGAAAAAAAGTATCTTGAGCCACTCTATTTAAAACATCATGTTCCAAATGATCATTTATTGTATTTTTTCAGTGCCATTCAGAAATTATTACAAACAAATATCTAATTATTTTTATTTATGAAAGCATAATAACACTGTAATATTAATTATATTTTAAATGGAATGAAAATGATGCATTTGGCTACTCAATAGAGAGGGGGATTTGAATTATGCAGTTACGTTAATTCATACAAAACAGTAGACTTTTAAAAATTTTTGCTTAAATTGTGTGATGTTTTCATATTGCATATAATAGGTGCTGCTCATGACAGTTTAAATGTGCTATTTATTACCACAGAATCAGGACTGAGTAAAAAGTATTGCCACCTGAAGTTCTAATTCAGACAGTGTTCCCAAAATAGAAATCTAATGAGACCCTCTGCTTGTGGCTCTATTTTCTTCCATGGCAGTATACTTTTCATGCTGCTAAGATCTCAATGAGCCTATGTAAAACTGCAGGATCCTGCTCTACAAAATCCAAGTGAAAAAGAGAAAGCCAAAGACTTGGTGTTGCATGCTGCGGACACTAATAAGAGTTTTTTGCTTGAATGGTTTAGAGCTGGATTGATATCACTATTCAAAGTTGTCTTTCCTGATGACTATTCTTTCTTCTTTATTAAACATGATTAAAGCTAGACAGCAAGAGGGCTTCTAAATTACAACTGAAGTAAAAGAAACAAAACTAATACTTGCTAGTCAGGATTAACCTATACGGTATTTTTTAACAAGCTAGAAAAAGATTTTACACAGAATTTTTAGTGAACCAAGTATTTGTTCACATCTTCAGATAAATTTTTCTTCCACAATTTCCAGTAACCTAAAAATGTCCACATCTCACTAAGAAAACAATTTTAAGAAAGTTTGTAAAAATTACACAGCAATAGAAACCAATATTCAGAAATGCACTGGAAATGCATTGAGGGATAATGTTGTGATTACCGTTTGATGTGAGACACCGATATTAAAAAATGATGTAAATCTTTCAATGAATTGTATTAAATAATATGCTATGTATCTTTAAAATGTTGGTAAAAGATAGTACTAGAAGTAGACAACCACTACATAATCAAAAGCTGAACATCTTTTCTCTATTAATTCTTCCCCTTTCTATTTCTAGACCTGCAAAAGACCATAGTTAGTTCAGATACTCATACTTCAGACAGCGTTCCTTTTCAAGAGGGTCCCAAAGAATTCAGCATATGCTTCTGAAGACTAGATATTACTTTGAAGCACAATTAGGAAAAATATTTTTGATTTGCATAAGATAATTATGGAAATATTTACACAAGACTTCATTATTTTTTACATTAAAAAGATCTCTAATGGGTTTTGGCTATATTGTATAGGCTTTCTAAATGTCTAGAGAGTCATACACATTCAAATATTTTCTTTTTTAAGTAAATAAATGGTTAGCAAAATGAAAGGGAGCTTGTCAGCATTTTAGTGAATTTCAGCACTTATATTTCCAGATATAAAAGGATACAGCTTTATGTATTAGTACCTACTCTCCTTCTTTAAAGAATGGTTCCAGAAACCGTGCCTTCAGTTGGTACATAACATATAGGAGAGACTAATCCTGCTGAGGCCAATGCAATTTTAGTGATACTTAAGATAGTCAAGGCTACGGGATGAAGTAAAAATAGCAATACTTTAGATACCATGGGGAGAGCATCTAGCACACCCAGTGCTTCAGAAAAAAAACTCGAAGCCATGGAAGGGACCCTTTCTCGAGATAACCTTGAATTTGGTCATTATCCTTGGGATTACTGGTGTTAACGGCAGCAGCGTTGACTCAGAGGGCACTGCAGGTTGTCTTTGTCAGCGGATCTAGTTGCATTTCTGAAAGCATCTTTCAAAAAGCCTTCTCCTGATAGCGGATTCAGAAACTTGTCATCCAGTGCTTTTGAGTTAAGTTAATCTGAATATGCAGCTGAAAGTTTCTTTTTCTATTTTATAGAGTGGAAGGTCTAAAAACCTTAAACTAAAGGCTTAAACTTTTCTCTAACCTATCGATCAAAGCTGAAGAAGCTAAATTTGAGGGAAAACTACTGATTTGGTGATCTAGCAAAAAAATCCCTAGTTCCTCTGTATAACTCTATCATATTTACACTGAAGTGATGTTGCATACACTATGGTTACTATACATATGATACAGAAGAAAAATGAAATAGATACTATATTTCAGTATTTTGCTCCTTCAGATCATATTCTAAGCAATGTTAAGGTATTATTAGAATAACAGAGTCCAGTAGAGCTGTTTTTGTGGGAAAATAAAAGCCAGATTTAATAAAGATTATAGAATCATAAAGACTTTTTCAATGAACACATTCAAATAAATTTTCAAAATATCAATGCAAAATACATTGACATATGAAATAACAATTCTCTACATTGCATATTAGCAAGTTTATATTGCTCCCAAGTTTTTTTTTCTTTTTGTGAAGGACTTCAACTACCAGTGTCAGTGTTAAAATACTTGCTGTTGCCTCCTCACATCACAAAGCTTCTAAGACTGTATTATCTTCTCAGTATTAGAAAAGAGAACTAGCATGATATGTTTTAGTCTTCATAATATAACCTGACATTGGCGACTCAGATGGTAGTCATAGTTTGGCACAAAAGTCTGACTAAGAGCTCCTGAATGTCACTGAAGTCCTTTCAGATTTAAGTAAAGCTGTAACGGTAATGGAGAAAAGATGAAGCCAATGTCTTCCTGGGTGACCGTGTCAATGCGGCAGCGCTGGCTGCAGTAAATTGCTGGTCACTCTCCTCGCTATGAGGGTAACAACATGGCAGGCCGTGGCAGAGTGTTTGTTTTACTGAAAACTTCAGAAATCAATGAAAATGTATTGTGTTTATATGATTATTATTTATAACTATTGCTGGTGATGGAAGAAGTGATTGAAAGTGCCGTTTTGTAGCGCTCCTGAATTACACGCAAAGTAAAGTGATGCATTTGAAAGTGCTTATTTAGTCTTGAGTTGACTAATTGTTAATTACATTCTTTTCCTGTCTGGTCAGTGAGGGGCTATTAACCCAAATCTGCTTATTGTGAGAGATCACTCAGCAATACAGTATTTTAACCCTCTTTTATGTGACATTAATTCATGATGATACTGTATGCACATGAGGATCCCTTCTCACCTCTCTGCTCAGTAATCAGATCTCTCTCCAAAATCATTAGTATCTGTTTGTACACTTGTAGTGCTACGTGGAGAGAAAGAAAGAAATTTAAAGGTAACCTCTAATTTCCCTTTCCTGACAAAGTCCTGTATTTGACCTTGAAACGGGGCACCCTTCTGAGATCCTCACACGAGTAGGAAACCCTGATATTTTAGCGCTATTTCCTAGTTATAAATAATAACAATATCCCTGGTGGGTGGCAGCTAATGAGTGTTGGTGCGAATGGGAAGGGACGTCAGCCGGCAGAGACCTTACTGGCTGGAGTACTGCACGGTGCTGTACTTGGTCACTCTTCTCCGGGAGGTGCCGGGGGACGCCGTGCCCATCGCCTGGCCAAGGTGACTGTCAGCGCTGAGCATCTGACCCGTGCTGCTCAGACCTCCCAGATTTCCTACCCCCAGGCTTGTCCCGCCTAGACTGCTCATCCCAGACCCTGACACTACTCTCTCGGTGACAACAACGTTGTGGGCATTTGACAACTCTGAGGGAATATTTATTAAGCTGCCTGGCATGCCGGAGGCAGGCCTGAACACCCTTTCTGTCACCACCACATTTGACCCATCTACCAAATCGGGAATGCTCAGAGAGGCTGGGAGCCGGGAGTTGGGCGCGATTACTCTTTCCGTGACGATAACGTTGGACCCATCTGCGAGATCGGGGATATCGAGCATGCCACGCAAATCAGAGGCAGATGCGGGACCGACAACTCTTTCTGTTACGACCACGTTGGATGCACGCAGAGGGTCGACACAAAGAGAGGGGGAGCCAGAGGTGTAGGTCTCAGTCACCGTCATGTTGCCGTGGAGCAAAGGATCAGGCATCGGCCTCGGGGGCTGTATGGTTGACCCGGATGTGTAGGTGTTTTCGGTAACAACCGTTGTTGTGCCGACTGGGGGAGGCATAGGTGCACATCCATTGACAACAATAGTGGTTCCCGGTGGCGGGAGGTTTAGATCACTTTCAGAGTTGGGAAAGGTGATGTTAACGCTTGGCCAGGGTGGGTTGACATCAGGGAAAGGTTCGATCTCTTTGCCCAGACAAATCTCTGCCAGGGTCTTAAATTTTGGTCCTAATGTATCCAAATACGTTTCATCTGTATCTTCTCCAATGAAGCTGCAGCAACCCACAGAGCCAACAGGAGTACCGACTCCTTCATGATCATATATTAATAGACAGTCATTTGCCGGCCGACCTTCATCTTCATCTGCATACACAAATGCTTTCTGTAGTTTGAAAAAACAGAAAAAAAAGAAAAGAAAAGAAGAACAGAGTGACTTTTCATCAGGTTTTTAACCATGAAGACTCAAACCATGGTAAGGTTTCCCTAACCACAGTAAGGCCCAGCTAACTTGAAAAACAGGGCATCAACAGGACAAATTACATCATCGACATTTTTGTAACCTTGAAAGAAGTGTTATTCAGATGTCACCTATGTTTTATTCTTGTTTCTGCCAACTCTTAGCATCTCAAATTTGGTCTGTTGTCACGGGGTCTGACTAGGGTGAAGGGAGAGAGTGAAAAGGGACAGGGGAACCAATGTACTCTTCGGGCAACAATATCTGCACAAAGCAGTAGAAAGAGGAGTGAAGCAGGGTGGTGAGGGGAGCAGTGGAGACATTAGAACAGAGCGGGTGGGATGGAGGGTTGGCCACAGTGGTGAAGGCTTGGTGAGCCCAGAGGGGAATGCATTTTGAGCAGGATAGAGATCACTCATTTGGGATGACATTGGGATGATGGGGTGGTCGGTGTAGAGGGATCAGGCAAGAAAGAGGAGAATTTAAAGTGAGTGAGGGGTAATATTGGAGGAAGCAGGGAAGGATGGAAGGGGAGGCCCAGGAGGGAGAGGCAGAGAGTTTGGAGACTGAGATGGTCAGTAGGAGGAGTAATCTGTGGGAGCCTATGGCTGGCAGACAATTAATACGTAGTAATCCCAGCCTAGGCAGGGAGATCGCTGCCTGGGAGAAGTCCATGCTTGAGGACTGCAGGACTGCTCTGTCCTCTCCTTTGCTGAGTCTTGTTTAGATTTTGAAATACAGCAATCCTTATATGTTAATTGATATTTTGGTGACATATGCAATTATAGTATTTATGCCTTACAGTTCATGCTAATTTTGAAATTATCGCTCATTAATCTGTTAATCATATAAACTCCATAGTATTTTTTTATCCCATATGTGAAGGCTAATTAATATGTTGCCAATTACAAAACTGCGTATTTTTGTCATTTGCAGTTCACAAACCTTTTAAGGATCAGAAATGGCAGTAAAAATAAGGAAGAAAGTGAATAGGTGTTCCCAGTTCTTTAAGGGTTAAAGTCACTTCATTAAACAATCTTTACAGGAAGTATGTGTGAACAATTTCTCAAAGTTACTATCTATTTACACACTGAAAAAGGTGGCAAATATATCTATTTGGTGGTCACTAACGAAGCTGAAATAATTTAATTGCTTGCTACCCATACCTGCAGTGTGTCCATCGGTTTTACAAAAAGGCTATTGAGCAATCAAATCTACTATAGCAGCTGCTCAAAAGCAGTACTACTAGTGTCATAGTTTTTCCTACTAGTATGGTCAACTTTGCTCTCACGTCAGTCTTCTATCATGGAAGTTTCAATTTCAGTGGAGTTGTTTTGGATTCCATCATGCAACTTGCGGAGGATAATCTATCAGTAGGCTCACAGATATAACACAAAGAAGATCAAGTAATTACCTCAGAGAAGTAGTTGTCTAGGAAGGCCATGTTCACTCCTCCTTCTCGATACTCTTTTATGGTTCCTCCAACGGACCCTTTTACTTCCCCTGTTCCAGAAATTCCTCCAGCTGTTCCGTAACCTGTACCAGTGCCATAGCCAACCCCTGTGGTTTCTTCAACACCAGAAGCTACTACTCCTCCTCCTCCATATGTGTTTGTATATATGTCTGAGAACAGAAAAAGAAAAGTTATCCGTCCTGTGCTTTGTGAAAATTTACAAAGAATTTGCCAGTTCTTTTTACAAATCCTACAATGACACAACTGGCTTTCTAACAGTATTTTAGACTAATTTCAGTCACACATCTGTGCACATATGTCAAACATTGAAACTGCAGTAAAAATTAAGACATCTAAGACCTTGATTTTATTCCTGAGGCTAGACAGCATGTGCATATATGCTTTAGAAAATCAATGATTTACTTGTGTAATTGACTGGAGAGATACCTCTCTCTGGTGCACATGTATGCTGTCATGCGATTTGCATTAGAAAATCAGGTAATGGTTATGGATATTTATGCAAATACATAAATGTATATTTATGAACACATCAGGGTTAAAATTGTTTTTCCTTAAACTCTTTTCTAAAAGAAATAGCTTTGTAACTCCTTTCACATTTTCTAGTGATTAGATTGTTAAGGGGGATTTAGGAGAACAACAATGGATTGTAATAACCACCAGTGTTCAAAATGCAAAATGAAAATGACCTTTACATTAAATTATAAAGTCACACTTACAGGATTTTATATTTTCCAGATTTTTTTGTATATGATAACAAGGAATGAGTGGTTTTAAATATCATAATGTAATATAGTAAATGCATTGCATACAGTACTGTTGACTATAAGTACGAGACACAGACTAAATTATATTTTTTTTTTATTTAATCTCATTGGTCTCAATTTATAGAATTTGAACCAGGGGCTTTCACCATAATGGTACTGAACAGAGGAAATAAAATAAATCACATGTGTAAGTCTTAAACTTTTCAATTGTCATGAAGCAGAAATTCCATGAGAATGAAGACTCTTAATTCATGTTTATGTCTCAAAATGTTCTTTTTTGATTTTGCCTTAACAGTGAGAACATTTTTGAATAAGCAATAGTCATCAGAAAAGTTGTCTTGCAGAGTGACATTTCTTCCTGTCAGAAGCTAGTGAAAATGGATCAGTGCCAGCATCCTTCCTGTTGTGGAGTAAAGAATGGGGAAAAAGAGAAGGTGGCACTGCTCTATGGCTATCGGATTCCTGAGGGAAGTTTATCTCAGAAGCATAAATTTATTGTGTTATGTATCAGCTTTCTGTCTAGGCTAGTGCACATATGGTCAGTAATTAACTGGCTACTTGACAGGTCCTATTCTCTCTCTCCTATTCCAAGCAGAGCTTGGAAATTGGAAAGAAATGAACCTTTCACCACGGAGTTATGAAAGAAAATTTCCTTATTCTGGCCTAAAGATTGATTTCTACTAAAATTGGTGTCTTGAAAAGATCCTCCATTCACTAGCTGCAATAATGGAGAAAAATTCCCTGAGATCTGAAAGTCTTGGCAGATATTTCAAAATAGATGTAGTTTGCAGAAATGAATCTGCTGAAAGGCTTAAACCTCAGATCCTTTATTCATACTGGAAGCCCTACTAGCAGCAGTTTGACTATCTGTAGATGGAGGATTGGAAGGGCTGAGCTGTGGCTGAGAAACTAAAGTGCCCCTTGAATCAGAGGACATGAAGTTCTGAAAGATAGCTTTATGACAGTGTTCATAGAAAATTTTAGGATCTGCTTACCAGAGGGTTCACCAAAATCACCTCCTGCAGCTGTTGTTGGGGCAAGAATGTGTGAGACATCCTGGAAAACAACATTTTGACGCCTTGAATTATGACTTTTAAATTCCCATATGAAGACCAAGACTTTTTGAATCATGTTAAGCAATAAGCAGTCTAAACTGTTAACGACAGCTATTAATTACCATATCCATAAAAAAAAAAGTCTCCATCCAAGTTTTTTCCATTGTCAAGATAAAAGTGATTAGTGAAGATGATTTATGTTACCTTATCCTGCTCTGCTTTGCATTGAAAAAGCTTGCTAGTTTTTGTGTTTCAGCTGAGGGCATAGTAACACCAAACTGTTGGGCCAAGCTAACTAAGCATGGCTTTAAACACACAAACTCCATCTGCAAATGTTAATTGAGAATCACCTTTCATCTCTGCCTGGAAATTGTTGACAATGCCAGGCTTCTTTTAGAAGATGAAGTGCTACGATCACTTTTGTGCTTCTAGTCTAATGCAGCCTTTTCTGTAAATATGAGTTACTGCAGGATTTAGAAACATGGGATGTACTGACCCTGTCTTCAGGCTGTGCACCTTCTATTCCCCATGGATGAATTGCCCCTTCTGTGCATTCAGGTACAGGTTCAAATCCAGTTCCAACTCCACCTGCAGCACCAGGTCCACAGCCACAACAGTCGCTCATTGACATCAAAATTGGAATCACTTAACAGGAAAGAAACAGGAAACAGGGATTTAGGACATCTCTTCCTCACAGGAATAGCTGCTTTTCCCAGAGGGCAGATGCTCAAGAACTTCTGAAAATGTGTCTTTTGGAATATGTCAAACCAAGCAGCCTGCAAGTCTGACTTTCAGAATCATTAGCTGCTTTTGGAAATGTATGTATTTGGAAATTCAGAATAATTTGTACCTTTAGCAGAGCAAAGCGGGGGTGGAGTAGGGCTGTTACTCCAAATTTATGTCTATAAACCTGGGAACAGACTTTGATCTATCTCAGCTGAATGAATATGTTTCATACATATTAAAGTTAAAAAAACAGAACCAGTCTTGCTATATATAGCATTCCATGATATTCATTCTTGATATATAAACATACATTTGTCTCTTCAGATATAGTAGTTGAAAAGAAATACACACTAGTAATAATAGACATATAAGAATCAGTGGAGAGATATCCATCTGGCTACAGTGATCTTTGGCTGAGGCTCCAGTTACATTTTTCACATCACAGATACGTAGTGCTTGATTTGAAAAAAACAGTAGAGGCAAACCCCAAACCCCAGTTTTCACAGACGATTGCATAGAATGAGTCAGGTTTCCCAGAGTGCTGTGTTATGCCTAGTTGTTTCGAGAACTCAGTGTTGGAAATTGCTGAGCGCTTTAAACGCCAACATTGAAAACATCACTCATTTTAAAATGGCCCTGCAACGTTAATTCTGGTTGTCTTGAGGTCCTTAACCTAGATGTCTATGTTAGTAACCTTGTATCACCGCAGAGGGAGTGGAGGGAGAGGCAGCCTACACCAGGCCAAGCAGAGCATCTCAAACTCTTCAGTTTAACGTCAAAGTGAACTGCAGAGAAAAGGGGAAAGGGCTATACGGCATACTAAGTGCTACCTCACACTGCACGACTCTACTCCAGACTGCCAACTAGGAGAGGAGATTTCCAAAGGCAGAAGAACAGCCTGTCCTGTAACATTATACACCTGCGAGCTACAAACAAAACAGCCTTTTGCAGCTTCAAAATTTTGTTTTTGTTAATTCCAACTAACCAAAGATCAAAACCTGAAACACACCCCTCCCTCAAAAAAGCAGGGCAAAAGTCCATTTGCTCTAGTTTTGTAGTCAGTATTTTTGCATTGGGAAATTTTAGATGTTGGTTGCTTAATGTCCAAGCCATGAAAGTAAGACAATCACATCTATTTGTGGTGGTCTGAGAAGTGATTGCTTGCATGAAGTCTAGCTTGAGTCATTCACATCCCTGAAACTCGTAATTCTTCAAAAATACTAGGACATATCAATGAATGAGCTGTTTTGATCCTGTTATCATTAATGCTATTTGTTTTTAATAGATGTAATGTTTGGCAGCAACAGCCAAAAGGTCCAAAATTTAAGATGATTATATTTATTGTTCTACTACTGAAATCTAGCATTGAGTTCAAAGGAATCTTGTTCTTTACATCTTTCTTTACTGAACTTGGAGCTGAGACTTCTCAATTTCTTTTAGTAATGTAACAGAAGTATGAATTGCAAAGTTTTAAGTTGTAAGTGACAGGGACAAGTCTTACTCAAAATTTTCTGAATCTTCTACTAAACATTTTTACCCTCTCTGACAGTCTGAGAGCTGGATAAGACCTTAGGAAAACATCTCAGGCTTAGGAAGGAAACAGTTATTTCTGAATGAAATATTTATATAAATATGTAGAATATAGAATATATAGAAATTCTTACAATTTAAAAGACAATTTTTTCTCATCAAATGACCCATGGGAACCAACATGTTAACAACCAAGCAGAAAAGTCATCTTATTTTAGAAGAATCAAAAAAATACACTTTTTAGAAAATTAATAAAATTGTTCTCTTAATTTCATACTTACGAACAAATATTAATCCACCAAGAAACATCAGGCCAATGGCAGTACCGCTAAGTGTGGTAGAAGATGAGAGATCTCTGCCATAATCTCCATTTCCATTATAAGAATCATCAGTGGCTGCAGTAAATGCGTCATAACCTTCACTGTATCCACCAGTGTAGTCCTGCCAGCTTGTATGATCAAGTTCTCCGTCTTTAGGTCCTCCATCAACATCACCTCCTTGTCCACCGTCCTGGTGTCCTCCACTGTCAACACCACCGCCGTCAGTGCTGCTGTCACTGCCGCCACCACCACCACCACCGATGATAATTTTTGTCGTGGCCCCACTGGTGCAGTAATTACGACTATCACACTGACAAGCTTGCACAGGAATTATATGTGGTCTAGGGCAGCGTCTGCCTAGGTTATCTCTTACGCTGATATAGATCCTATACACGTAAAAGCCAATGTTCTGATTCACTAGTTCTGCAGAGGAAGCTTTGGGAACAGAAAAAAAAAAATTACGTTAAGGTGTTGACTATAAACACTGCACAAATCTATAATTTTTGTGAGTAATGTTCATAGAACAGAATGAAGACTAAGTGTTCCCATTCTAAGATCTTCAGTTACTTATGCACCTACAGTACTTATTAAAAGCTGAAACTTACGATATTCATCTATGCTAGTTTTTTCTTTTGTAAAACCTGAGCCGGATCAGTCTAGTCATCACTTTTTAACCTGAGAAATATAAAAAGGGCAAATGCACATTTTATAACTACTGTTGCTTTTCCTGATTTTTATTCACACAATAGTGGACGTAAAAATTGCAAGGTTTGTTTGTGTTTTTTTTTCCTCTCTCACAAGGAATATATACGTGTTTTTCAAAAGATTTTTCAGTAGTTTTAAAATATTTAAAGTTACACATTTGCATCTGTTTAGGACAAATAGGAAACACAAGAGTAGTTGCAGCTGTGATATTTACCATTTAATATAGTCTTCTATGCATACAGTAAGTTATGCAAATTCTGTCATTTAGTAATGTATAAGATTTCAATAATTCATTAGTTTATCATGCCCTATTGGAGGAAACTGGAAAAGCTCCACTGGGCACTGACTAAAATGTTTTTCTTAGAAATACAAGTAAGTACAATTTGTACGATAAATTACAAAAGTTGGAATCTTTATTTACCATTTTCATATGCGTCTCATAAAAGTAAATCTCTGCCAATTAATAACTTTATACTCTAATAAATAAATTTGAGAGTTTTGTCTTACGCTTAGAATTTTTTAGATAATATAGAAATAAAAAGGCATCAAATTACTCCTTTTGAATTACCTCGTTAGGTTTAGACCAATCGAGGTGCTATCATAGCCACACTCAAATAAAGTACAGTTTTGCTGCACTATTTTTATCAGTATATTTTTAGCTTCCTTTAAAAGATGATAACTAAATAAAACACATGTAATAGTTCTGATTCAAGTTCTAATATGATTTTTATATATATATAAACAAATACTTGGATTCATATGAGCATAAAATCACATTTAAGTGAAATTAGAATAGATTCTAATAACTGCTTTGTTTGTTATTAAAAGGTTATCCTAACCTGCTATCTTAGATAAGAGTTTATTACTATGGTTTATTTTGGTACAAAATGTAGGTTAATTTACCGTTTATTGATCTGATAATCCATGTAGTTTGAGGTTCACCATGTATGCTGAAGGTAAAGGGGAGACCATATGGATCACCATCCCTACCCTTTGCTGTGATAATCACTGATGGGGAATGCATACATACTTTCCTTAATTCAGTACTAATAGTTGGGCAATTGGTATTGAGGTCATCTATTGAAAGCACAATGGTGCCAGTAGCAGTGTATCGAGGAGCCCCTGCAAAAAGAAGATACTTGTGATCAGGCAGGACTATTGATACTGTAAAGAATGCAGTACAGGTGGGAAAACTAGAAACAAGAAAAAGCATTGAGAGAAATCTGGAACAAATAAAGTTTTGTTTCAGAAAACTTAATCTCATTTCTTACCTCTGGTGATGGCCAGAACCTCTGCTTTGTACTGCCCATTGATTATATAGATTGACTCCCGGTCAATAACTTTGTTGAGTGTGATTTCACCAGTGTTTTGATTGATTCTGAACCAGGCAGCTGGATCACGTCCTATACTGTATCTGTATTTGGTGAAGTAAAAATACTCAGCATTATGTTATGAATATACGTAGTACATATTCATTTTACAAATAATATTTGTCACTTTGGAATATTTTTCTTTAGGCTGTGCTAGGTCCTATTGCATTTCATCCTGTTCAGGCAAAATTCCTGTAGACTTCAAAAGATGTAGGCCAGAAAAATAATTAGGAATTAAGTAAATGTATAGAAGTCCATTATATTTTGAAAGTCATATCATAGTCTAAAAGTAAAATCATTCTGGACTCTGTAAACCTTTACTAGAACCCTTGTTAATATCAGTAGTTAAATCCACAGCTCTTCCTATACCGTTCTACAGTCGTATTTGCTAACATATTTCTGTTTTATGAAAACTTTTCAAACCTTTGTAAATTGCATGTATTTATTTCTACATATATTGAAAAGCAAATTATGATCCCACTAATTATTAGTAATTTCAGTAGAAATAACAGTAAAATAATTTATTTTTCTTTATTATAGAATAAGCATGTAGTGACTTTTTCTGATTGTATAATACTGCTCATTATTGGGGTTTTCTGCTTGCTTTTTTAGAGACGCTCACAAATTCCCTATTTGTAGCAAACATTTCAAGAAAAAATATTCTTAGGTTGAGTTAGAAAAAAAATCTGTTCTGATTTATTGAAGTTACAGCTTGTTAGAAAAATGATGTTCTCTTTGTCTTGTGCATGAGGCTAAGGAAAGCAGATCAGGAAACAAACATAAAAATGGGCTGAAGAATATACTGTTCTATTGCTGTTATTCTATTGCTAATCTATTAACATTTTTAAGCTGTTTTTTAAAGCACCCTTTAAAATACTTATTTCTCATCCCACTGAAATCTCAATTAAAAGAATTATTCCATCCAGGGAGTTAAACAGAGCAGAGCTTACATAACATTTGATGCAGTAGCTCCAGTGTCCTCATCGAAGGCTGTGTATGTTCCCACAACATAATTTGCTCTTGTGCTTTCTGATACAGAAAACACAACTGAGGATGGCTGAAATCTTGGTGGTTCAATCACGTTTTTTACTTCTATTGTTAGAGGTGTTCCAGACATTCGGTAGTCTTGTGCGACAGAATGGTGGAAGGCAGCTACATTCCTGACACCAATAATCAGTGAGTGAGTTTGGAGATGTTCGTAATTCAGTTCCTAAAAGGTCAACCATGGAGAAGTAGATAATAAATAAAAGTTCATTTCATTTTATTTAAATATTTTCTGTTTTAAATGGTTGACTGACAATGTTTTTAGTGCTCATTTAATTTTGTTAACAATTAACTAAAACTATTTTAAGAATGAATCATAATATTTATCCGTACCTTAATTACTCTAAGGATTCCTTGATTTGTAGCTCGATCCGTAACAATTTCAAACCAGTTATTTTCATTACCAGATATAAAGAAAAACTCTGCTAACCAATTGTCCGTATGCTCTTCATCAGCATCCAGAGCTTGTATTCGTAGCAGTTCTGAACTGAGTGAGTTTTCTGAAATACTTGCTGAAAACTGGAATGACAAATACCTATTAGCAAACATTAAAATATATAATGTGAGGAAACCACAACTGCCTGCAGAGATTCTTTTGCAGGATGTCTTGCCCACAGTCCGTGCCAATTTAATAGGAATTGTGCATTCTGGATAAATTGTGATTCTGGTTGCAGAGCCGAAGGGCTGTATCACCTCAACTATGTGCAGAGGCAGCTTAGAGGAAATGGATTTGTGCTTTCTATAAGAAAAGATCATATAATGATTAGGTTGATCTACGTAATATGACCATAGTGTACTGGTCTGGACACCTGAATGACTGGATTTCTCTGAATACAGAGAAGTCGGTGTCAGGATTGACTTCTCTGAATACAAAAGTAATCTCTTTGTATGTTATAAGCATTGGTGTGACAGATTGGATTTTGAGCACGCTTCAAGGAAACAACCCCGTTAATCCAGTGGAGCATTCAAACACGAAAGTGCTCTATGGGTTCGTAAGGGCTCTGTTATCAACCGTGTTTTTGAACAGGGTTTTAAAACAGTGATGTTGCTTTTGGTATTGAAAACTTACAGAGCTCTGAGCAAGAGTTGGGAAGTTGTCATTGACGTCAATAACTTTAACGTTACAGCTACAAAGGGATGATATTCCATCTGCAGCTCCATCCCGGTCTGATGCCTTCACAACAAGAGTGTAGCTACTATGTTGCTGTCACAGAAAGAGAAATGAGCGTGTTAGAAGAACCACCTGTACATACTGAACATTATAAATACTCATGTCTTGCTACTATTTCCCAATGCAGGAGTATGCCTTAGACATTTTATTGTAACATATGGAAAAAAATAATTTCTCCCCTAATTTTTGTAAAATCCACAACCTTTCTCTCCCCCCACGCCCCCCCTAACACACATGCACCACAACATCATGTTATTTATCTTTGGAAAGGGAAATGTTACCTCTCTGTCAAGATAATTTGCAAGATGGAGTTCTCCAGTGTATTTATTCATAATGAACATGGGTGGACCTGAAGGTTCCTGACTCTCTATCTTGAAGGCAATTTTAGAATTCAAGTGATTAGGTTCATCTGCATCTGATGCAATTATTTTCATCACCAGTGTGTCTAAAAAGAAAAAATAATAATAAAAAAAACGAATCAGGAAATCTGTTTTGTTCCTGCAAATGACTCATCAAGACAATGATAAATCTTTGTATATGAAAATCATAGAACACAATCTATTAATTGACATTTACAAAGAAAAACAAAAGTTTAACTTTGTAGTACTGATCACAGAATCACAGAATCACAGAATGTTAGGGATTGGAAGGGACCTCAAAGGATCATCTAGTCCAATCCCCCTGCCTGAGCAGGACCACCTAGACCAGATCACACAAGAACGCATCCAGGCGGGTTTTGAACATCTCCACAGAAGGAGCCTCCACAACCTCTCTGGGAAGCCTGTTCCAGTGTTCTGTTACCCTTACTGGGAAGAAGTTCTTCCTCATGTTTAAGCGGAACCTCCTATGTTCCAGCTTATATCCATTTCCCCTTGTCCTATCATTGGATGCCAGTGAGAAGAGCCTGGCTCCATCCTCATGCCAGTCACCCTTTACATATTGATAAACATTAATGAGGTCACCCCTCAGTCTCCTCTTCTCCAAGCTAAAGAGACCCAGCTCCCTCAGCCTTTCCTCATAAGAGAGATGCTCCACTCCCTTAATCATCTTTGTGGCCCTGCGCTGGACTCTCAAGCAGTTCCTTGTCCTTCTTGAACTGAGGGGCCCAGAACTGGACACAATATTCCAGATGTGGCCTCAGCAGGGCAGAGTAGAGGGGGAGGAGAACCTCTCTCGACCAACTCACCAAACCCCTTCTAATACACCCCAGGATGCCATTGGCCTTCTCGGCCACAAGGGCACATTGCTGGCTTATGGTCATCCTGCTGTCCACCAGGACCCCCAGGTCCCTTTCCCCTGTGCTGTTTCCCAACAGTTCAGTCCCCAACTTGTACCGGTAATTTGCATTTGCTACCATCCATGAGTTGGTATAGACTCATGGTATAGATTCATATAGGTAATGGCATTTGCTATCATCCATGAGTCGGTATAGAGATAGAGCATTGGCCACTTCAACATCAAATCCCCTTGAGGTACACATCAGACTTCCCTGTCCTTCTGCATCACCCACCAAGTGCACCCAGGTCCTTGAGCAAAAGCAATCCCACGAATTGATTCTGACTGAATGTTAATTACCTTAAAATGCATTAAAATAAAGTCAGAGTAATTCAGATTTTCACTGAAGTTCTTTAAGTCGTCATAGGGACTATGTAAAAACAGTAAGTATTGAGCTTGTAGACATTCATGCAAGAAAACTCTGCAGTTTTAAATGAGAATTTATAGAAAATAGAAAATGAGCATTAGGCACCATTGCCTCGGTGCTATTTGCCTGTCTAATGTTGATTGCTGTACTTGTGGTAAAAAGAATAATTTTAGTGGTTTAAGTAAGAGTTTATTCAGTAATAAGAGTTTATTCAGTAATATTCTACTGCAGCTGCAACACTCAGGCTTCAAATACAAATATTTGAAACAAAAAAATGGGAAAAAATATATTTTATATGCCCTCAAAGGAAATAAGTGTAGGTGCAATGTTCTTCTTTTTTTTTTTTTTTTTTTTTAATGAGAAGGAATAAACCGATTTATTTTGAATTTTCACATCTGAAAGAATTTGCATGATGGTATGGTTAGAAACTGGAATATTCAACATTCGAGTATGGGAGGAAAGGGGGAAGGAAGCATCACTGCTTAATTTTAGGCAATGACCTCTGGCCCCAGATTGAATACCACTTGGAGAAGTACCTGCTGCTCCTTCCTCTGCAGTAGCCCTGGCCAATATGTGTCATTGGCTAAGAAAAAGCAGAACGAGCACCCCAGGTTTATATTAAGTGCATTCTGAGAGCTTCATTCACAATACTATAACAGGCATAACATAGTTACTTACTGTCCATACTGCTTTCTTCGACAGCTCCTGTAAATACAGTTTGTGCAAATATAGGAGGGTTGTCATTTATATCGAGAACTCTGACTCGAAGTTCAAGAGGTGGTTCCAAATCTACACCCGTCACTGAGTGTTTAGCAAAGCAACGTATCTAGATAAAGAGATTTACTTATTTTAGAACCGAAAGGGAAGTAAGCAAAGTAAAAATCTGAAACAAATTCATTTGTCTCCTTCTGCTCTCCCTGCCCCACCCTGGATCCATCATTATAAAAGTAAAAATAAAAAGGGAGTACTTACAACAAATACTGGGGTTACTTCCCTGTCCACTATCGATGTTATATTAATTTCTCCTGTTCTTGGGTTAACAACAAATATTCCATAGGGGGCACGGTCAATTCCGACTCCAGAGATGCTGTATGTGATTGGATTGTTTTCTTCACAATCTGATCGGATCTATAATAGCAGATAATAATTTATGCCAGTTTACTGAGGACATCTGCATCCTATTATTAATTCCTGTAAAAAATTCTATATAATTTCATTTTCTCAACCACTTATCATAAGGTTCAATTGATAGAACCGATGGAAGGCTTTTCTACAAAACAGTCAGCCTAGAGATCCCTCTTCCCTTAAGTGCTGGACGGGCTTTCTATTTCTCTTAAATCTTCTGACAGGGAAGTGGAAAGAGAAACTTCCAGGAGTATCACCTCAGTAAGGGTATGGTCATGGTTAGAGGATAGGGAGACATCTTCTTTGCTCTGCTACCCACAGAACTCATGCACTATCTTTAAACTTCTGCTCAGGGGCTTCTCAGGGTGAGAAAGAAAAGTACCACAATCTAGTACACAGGTGCTGCACATGAAGATACTGTGGTTGGAGCTGTACAGGAAGTAGACTGATGTCAATGTTCTAGGAAACCTTTGTTCACTCCTCAGCAGCCACGTGGGTTCACCTTATAAGACTTGTCTCAGCAGAGCTGGAAATATTGCACCATCTTTTATCCACATTCCTTGCTTTGACTACTCTAAGCAAATATACTTTTAAATCTCTCTGATTTTATCAGCCTGTCTTTAGAAAAACTTCCTTGTCAGTGAACACTTTTGGGGTTTTTTCTACTTACTTTGGCAATTGGATTCCTCTTAGAATTATCTTCTCCTTCTCTACAAGCTGCAGCAAATTTGATCCATTCACGTTTTTGTCTTTTGAAGGTTTTCCATCTTGCCATTCCATTTTCATCCCATTCTTTTACCTTTGATAGAGAGTTCCAGTATCGTATGTCAAGTAACCTCAATTCATTTTAAACTAATAGAGACATTTAGACTTTCCAACAACAAGGAGAAAAGGGATTTTTGTAGATTATGTGCTTTTTTATAGGTCTGCAAGTCCCAAACTCCAAGACTGTAAATGTTTACTTTAAAATTATTCCTGTGTATGAGATACTCATTTAGGTTCAGGAGAAGTTCTCTTGAGAGGGTGAGCAGGTTATTACCTGCAACTGTGTAATATTTAAATATGTTTTCAATCTTTGAGTTGAAATGTCTTAGTTCAGTATTTTCCATTTCATTTTTGCATTGGTTAAATTTCATTTTCATCAGAAAATCAGTTTCCAAAGAAATATATAAATTACCTCTACATGAAATCCTGTGCTGAGATCCAAGAGTGCCTGCAAGAACAATAAGAAGATTGGCATATAAAAGTGCAGGGTAAAATGCAATAAGCAAAATCCGACTGCCATACGTTGCTATACTGCAGGACTGGGGCAGTACTTTTTCTTAGGTCTATTGGAATAGCCTATCTAGGCAGTAGCTACAAGATTTCCACAAATGACTTTGTGAAATTCATTTTTTTCTATATTCATTACTTGAATTCCTTGCTAGTTAACACTTTCAAAATTCATTCTGTCTTTCAGAGCGGAACTTTTGAGTTTAAAGGGATATACCATAGCAAATTTCAAGCTATACCTATATCAAAATACAACTTTCACACAGATTTTTAGGTTGTAACACCTCAGCTGAAGAGACAAGTGATTGCAAGAGTTGTTATTAAAAAGTATGTCTAGGAAACTAGAAAAAGAGTATTTATTTATTCTTTATTCTTTGTTGTTTTTTTTTTTTCTTATTTATAAAGTCCACAATAGACTTGAAGTACTTAACTATGTAGTTTAACTAAAAAGATCAAAAATGTTTTCCTGAAACTTCCCACTGAGGTTGAAGAGATTCAGTGTAATTTGGAAAGCCAGCTTCTGCAGTCATCAGGCAGATTTCCCTGGTGCGTAGTGGACTTTAGTTGGAAGTCTATGGAGCCAAAGCCTTCAGTAAATAAAGGTGGCAGGTTCAGATGCAATATGTAATTACTTTAAGATAAAAATAATAGAGAAACCTCAGTTTCTTGATTAGCACAATTTAAAAGGTGGCACAGTAGTTTCATTAATTTATTCCTAAATAAGGTGTCAAAATGAAGTTCACTTATTGGATGTACCTCTTCAGAGCATGTCTTTTGGGTTTAGAACCTGCCTCTGCTCTCTTCAGATGATAATGGGTGAAGAATATGGGATTTGCAGGACTGGATGTTTGCTCCATTTGTCATTAGGAGAAAAAAAATACCCAGGTGACTCAAAAGTTGTTGCAGTTTCTCTTTTCTCATCAATGTGGTTAACAGCTGTAGGTATCATTTTTCCATCTTCCTTATAATTTCCCAGTACAGTTTAATAGGGTGTTTTTTTGTATCATCTGACACATTTTATCTGGTGGGTTTTGTGTCAGTTATACTTGGATAAAATCTGTGACAATCTTTTTCTCTATGGTAGCTTTACCTTGTGAGACTTTCCTAACTTCAAATTTATTGCATTGCTCTGTCAAGGCTGGAAGATGGGCCCAGACTTTTTTCTACTCACTTCATGTTAAAACAACCTCTTACACGCAACAGCTTAATGAACAGCAGCTTCACTCTCCTTCCTCTCTCTTTCCCCTTTTCCCCATTCATCTATATGCCGTAAGAGGTCCACCATCTGTCATTTACAAAGCAATGTCTCCAACGATCTGATCTTGCTCAGAACATTCCCTGAGACCTCAGCAAATAATGGCTGCCCTAATCTGCTTCTGAATGAAGGAATTTAGACTGTGGATTTGTCCATTTTGTGTGCATATACCTTCAAATTTATTGGACTATTCATATAGTAAGGATTTTTTTTTCTTGTTTCTTTGAGCAAGCTGAATGTTGAATATAAATGGTTAAGAAAAGCATTCTGCAGGAAAATCATTACAATATGTTCATGTTGTTCTAAAAGCATCATACATCTTTTAATCTGAGTTTATTTGTTGGTGACTATTTAAATCTTCAGCTGCAGAATGTGGTTCAAATTCATGTGCAACTGTTACTCTTCTGAGAGAACGGATAATACGGGACTCCATTTAAACTGCGTTGTTTTTTTTTTCACCCCAGTGGAAGCTCAGGCCTGTCCTGTTATAATCTCTCTTGGAGCTTGGGGAAATGTGGGAGAGTAGAAGGGGCAGATTACACCTTGACCATATAACATGAGTAATGAAGTCCACCAGAAGTAGCACAGATTGAATGTCTCTTATCAGTTGATCCCACTGGCAAAGCAGAACCTCCTTTGATGAGCACAGTGAAATCCTCTCCACCCTAAGGCTGAAATCCCTTCTGGCATGCAAACAATTGTCTTGACCAAGTATGAGCATACACCTCCCAGTGCCATGTTAGTGAATCTTGTCTACTGTCTGCATCCTGTGACCTATTCTGTTATTTAACAGTGCAACTAATATCTCACATCCAGCTGCATCACTGTCATGCTCAGCAAGCCTAACAGAAAAACTTTGTTGAGCATCTCTGAAATAAGAATTATGCCTGTAAAGAATTCTGTTCTTTCAGGACGCAAATATTGCTAAAACACTTGCTTTCAGCTTATAGGGAGCTGGGCTTTCAAGCAGTGAAGAATACACATTTTACACTGGAGATTCGTCCTTTGTTTTTGAGTACCAATAATGTGAATGTCAGGAATTGTTCATCAGTAATGCTGGGGATTGTAAATATAGGCCCTGTATTTCCATACTTGTCCTGTGTTAACTAAGGAAAAACCCATTCTGCCATGTGTTGCTAATGGAAGATCTTGAAAGAAGTCTTGATGATTTTGAATCCAGAGTCCTTAGTATAGTTTGTGATGCTGTTTGAAAAGGCTGATCCAATGAACTTGATGTCTGAGTTTGGTATGTCTCTCTCAGTTACTGCTGTGTTGTAGGAAGGAGGGCAGGCAGATATCAGACAAAGTTGTCTAGTTCACCAGCTAAACCTCAACAATTCTGGGGTGAAGTCTATCGAACTTGATCCAGGGATGGAAGTTCTTCTGCTTCTCCAACTAATGTTTTCCAGTTCTTTACTATCGTCAGCAGTTGGAAGGCTCCCACCACCCCAGTCGTCCAGTCCTAATATCTCTCTGTGATGCAAACCCTTTTTTCCTAGTGCTATTTCCAGCAGAGAAGTACTGTCTCCTAGCAGCTAACCTCAGCATACTTCCAGGTAGCGAACCAATTTCCCTTCAAGATTTACTGTCCTGTGAGTCTCTGAGAGGCTGGAAAAAATTCAAAATCTGCAGGGAAGCTAGAGGCTTGTTGCATAAGGTGTTTCTGGTTTGGGTTGGGAGAGGTGCAGGCAGGAATCACATTTATGGTGACTGTCAATGGTACAGTGGTCTGTCTGAAAGCCTGTCTTTTATTGTAATGATACAGAGCCTGAACCTTGTGTCCAAAATGATGCCTTAGAATTACATTGGAGTTGTTCTGGATTTATTCTGATGTAACTGGGAACAGAATTAGGCCCATAGGATGTGTATGGTTCTTTGCACCTTCAAAGCAATTTACACACAAGAATTAACTAATCGTTAATTGACTACCAAGCAATATTATACGCAATTACGGAATCCTCCCTCCTCCACCTACTCAAATCTAAATGACTGAACACGCCTTTAACATCTTCCCAGCATTATTCATATTGGATCTGCTTCTCTCTCTTTGAAGTCAACAGTGGTATTGTTATTGGCCTGGATGGGAGGAGTGCTAAGAACTCACACTTATTATATTAGTCATCAGGGAGCCATGGTAGCTCTGATTGTGTCAGCGTTTTGGGACTTTTACATCTTTCTTACTCAGCCAAAGCTCTGACTAGTAAAAGGTTGAAGTAACGAACCCTTCCCTTTATTCATTCTACATCTCTTTAAAAAATGATAAATCAGTGCATATGAAATAGTGAGAGTTGAAACACAAGACAAAACATCATATTTTAGAAAGAAGCCATGTAATCACTTTTAAATTGGAACACAAACGTGTTTTTGTTTATACTTTTTATTTTCTTAGGTCACTAATGAATTTGCTTCTTCCTGTTTAAAGGGGAAATTTTTCAGGATGTTCTTTATGGCATTTTTGTTTTCAATTCTGCAAAAGTCATGTGTTTCTATTGCTTCCTGTGTTATCAACTGACGTCAATATTCTGCATTGCACTCAGGATGGAGAATCCATTGCTGTTTCAGCAGAAGTATGAAAATGGTCATGCCAGTCAGAAAAACATATTCCGAAGTTTTATTAAAAGTTTTATTTATTTTAAAATACGTTTATTCAAAGAACTGACCACTTTGGGAAATTTTCCACTGAGATTGTTTCTGTTCTGCTGAGCTGAATAACACAGGACAAGTTATACAAAAGTAATGAATTTCTATACAGTAACTGAGCTTAACCATTGGAAAAATGAACAGAAAAGTAATCTCAATACAGGGTGTAAGCCATTATAATTCAAATTGGAGTTTTTCAAATTAGTTATGCTAAGTCTCCTCGATAAACCTCCTCAATAAGACCTGAATTCTAATATGGCTCAGAGTGCTCTAGCTGCAAATGCAGGTTTGCTTATGGGCCATTTTTACTTAGGAATGTAAAGCTGCAGATTTAAGAACCTAATCTGAGGTGATAGTTCCTGGATGCAGAATTGCTTTAGTTTCTATTTCTACAACAAAATTATTTGGCAGAACAACTTGCAGGTTCCTAGCTACATTCTGGCAGATGTTTCGTATGCATACGCAAGGAGAGAATTTCACCCCTTAATATTTTTATGTGCAACCAACTTATGAGTAGGAGGTATAACCATAGCCTAACAACTGTGAAAAAAAAAAAGCAGCATAGATAACACATGGGAAAATGTAGCCAGACAAAAGTGCATATAAAAGATGTGGTGAATGTAAAATTATTAGCTGTCACATGATAGCTGGCAGGAGAAGAGTCATACCTGATCAAACAGGTTATTTCCATAAAACGTGTCTGTGCAAGTATCACGAACAGAACTCCCTTACTCATGAGAATAATGCCTTTGAAGTCACGTGAGCAAGGGTTGCAGAATCAGTCCCACCAATGGTGAAATACATGTAGAAAATTATTAGTTTCAGGGCTGGTAAGTTTCCTTTTTTGAAACTGTGGTAGTGTACTAAAATATGTATAACTCCACAGCAATTCCATTTGATGCAAGTTATTAACAATACACTAACCAGACACATCATTCAGACAGGTGATTTTCATGAAAGATTAATCAGGCTGAAAACCAAGACTGTTTCTCAGAACAGACTAGAATTGTATACATAATTTGCAACGTATTTAGTCTCTACGGTTTGTCTGTCAGCTTTCTATACAGATGCTATTAAGCTGTACAGGCCACCGTGAACACTGATGTGCAGAAGAGCACACAATAACAACAATTGTTTCCTCTCAGTAGTAAAAGTTCAAATATTTGATCATCATGAAAACATAATAGCAGTTCTCACAATTGCTCCTTTTTATTGGCCCAAAACATATCCTTCATCAGTTACGACTGCAACGATAATATCCTGAAAGAATGAAAATGGCTCCAGAGTTGCCGAGAGAAGATAAAGCAGTAAAAACTCTTTTGAATGGACAGATCTTAGATACAGTACAGTCAACTTTTTTTGAGCTTCGACGCATCAAGAGTATGCATCACCAGGTAAGTGAGTAAAACGAATAGTCACTAGTGCTACACAAAAACCCAGAAGTGTTATTGTGATGTGCAACATGCCAATCTCAGAGACCTCTGCGCTGCATTAAACAAGCAGAAACTCATCCCAATCGTAACTTGCTTTTGCCAAGTTTTGTCGTTGTTTGCTTGGCAGCTGCCCTGAATTGGTTAGTTCTACTTTACCGACTGCAGAGCTGTCACCTAAAATTAATGGATTATCTTTTCAAAGTAAGTTTTAGGATTTCATATTCTATAACAACAAAGACTTTTTCCCTGAGTAAAACATTTCTAGACGGATCAGTAACAAGAAATTTACAAACATTTACGCTTACTATATACATTGTGTGAAATGAAAGCCACAGAAGAACAAAACTATAGTAGAAATCCTACTCTTTCTAATCTCCAGGGCCTTAAATGTCTACCTAATTTTAGAAAAGCAGCACAGATGAGTAAAAATAATCCATAAAAAAATCAGATTGCAAGAGTAGAAAGGCCTCTGTAATTCTTTTAAGTCTTTTCTGGATAATTTCCGTACCTTGATGAACACGTACTACTATGACACCTGATCATAGCCACAACTTTCCTTTTACAGTAAGAAAAACAAACCCAAAGAGCAACACTTTCATCATGCACTCACTTGCTCAGCAAATGGCGGCTCAGACACTAATGCACTACAGGACAGGAATTCTTTGCAATGTGAAATAATAGGCCAAGTCTTGATTTTTACTCAGCTAAGGTCTGCATTAAATTTCATGTTTTTCTCTTAAACATAGCCCTAGGATTTGGTAAGCTCTGAAGCGCTCTTGCTAATCAGTTTAGAAAACCAGATTTGCTTTTCGTATTCCCTCAATTGATTAAAAAATATAAAGACATAGAACCAAATAATATCCAGTCAAGTTATTAAGATTTTTATAACAATAAGATTTTAATTTCATAACAGTGGCTCCTTAAATAGTAGCCACAGACAACATTCACCTGAAAAGTCATGCATTAAACATAGAAAGTCACATATTGAACGTCAATAGACTGCAGAAAGTCGTAATCAAAAGAAACATTTGTCAGCACTTAATGAAAAACTAAATTATTTGTATAGAGCCTTCAGATTTGCAGTTTAAAGTAAGCATAGCTTTATTTTTTATGCTAAATTTCATAAGACTTGTTCGAGGGGCTAGTTTACGCTGTAAAACGCAATGCTCTGCTGAGGAAGATTCAACTGGCATAATCACAGAGTTTACAAATATTGTTTTAAAATCTGACTTACCAATAAAAGCAACACAAAAGCAGCCATTCGGTGAGGGAGCCAATCCATGGCATCTGCCTTCTCAGATACAAGTCCAACTGAGTTATGGTTACAAGCCTGTTCTTTTTCCCCTCCCCCCCCCCAAACTCTGGTGTCTATTTAAAAAGACACTCGGTAGATGTCCTTATACTCAGCCCTTCAAGGTGTCTCTGCCTCCCTCTGAGGGAAGCACTGAAGATGCTGTATAACAGAGTGTCTTTCCCCACCCCAAAATCCTGGGCTGGTCTCACCTGAAACGCTTGACAACATCATTATTGCTTGCAGGTAAAAGCTAAGAGACACACCTTAATTCTTATTGCACTGAAACCCTTTGTTGGATACGAAAGGGTACGTTTTAAAAACAGAAGGCAAGCTTCTCTGAGAAGATACCAAGTGATTTATAAATTACTCACAACATAAGGAATCATTAAAATGGTAACTTATCGTTGCTTTGAATGCAATTACCAGTTTTCTCCTGGCACCGAACATAATAGAAGAGCTTAATGAATATCACTCAAAGAATATGGACTTTAAGAAATGGTTAGTTTGAATTAAAATATAAGCCCATTTGTTTACTTCCAGGCACAAAGAAGTTGTTTGCAGAAGTGCAGTACTCCAAGCAGAATGAGTTGTCATTAAAGAGGTAACGTATTAATTTGGGGGGAAAAAAAAGTGTTTTATTCGTTAGGCCACAAGAATATCCGAAACCGAGGAAGGCAAAGCTTCCTCATGCCATACCTTTCCCTTCCTATGGGTTGTGCTCTCGCTGACACAGTGAGGAGGGAGATGTACACATGCCTCGTGCCAGGGAAACAGGAAAGCTGCTCAAAACAACAGCAAAGGGAGGATGTGCTGCACAGCTCACTTCTGGCCTCATTGTGGATGGCAAGAGCACAAATATGTGAGGGATGGAGAAATCAAAGAGGATTCCTCACTTTACTCACAGCGATAGGTCCCTCCATTCTGCAACAGAGGTGTTGTAAGTCCCTCCTTGTGTCTTTGAGACACCTGAACTGCCCGTAATGGGCAAGAGAAAGATAGAGTGAGCTTCTGCTCTGCCACTAAACTTGGGAGGAGGGTGCTTGCTTCATCCCTGAAAATGCAGTACAACTGGTGTGCTCCTGAGCCTGCTAGCCCATCATGGTGCTGGGCATCTCCCAGGATTGAACTCAAGCTGGGAAAAGAGGGCTCAGCACCTCTGGGGTTACTCAGCACCTTCTGAGATGAAGCCCTGCGCTCCTGCTGGGTAAGCAGCTTCTCAGCGTGCCGTGCCTACACGTTGCTTAGCATGGGTGCTTTGCTGCCTTGCAGCTGGCTGGGACTGCCAAAGCCAGTTGTGCATGTCCCTGCTGTCACTCAGCTTTTGCGACTGTGCTCAACATGCCCAGCAGTGAGTCAGTGAGGCAAACTGGGGCAGGCAGTGTTAAACGAATCACATCCAGATTTTCCCTTTTCTGGGAAATTTTTGACAATCTGAAATTTACTTCTGGATTAAGTGAAAATAAAATATTGGTTTTTGCTCATACAAAATATGCATATTCTTTTATGAACAAGAATATCTTATTTGAGAAGTTTTGCTTAATCAAATATTCCAAAAGATGCCAATTTTTCCCTCCAGATTTTTCAAGTGTTTGGTTTGGAGGGTTTATTTTTTTATTTTGCAGAATTTTTAACATTATTTTTTTGTGCTTTTTAGTGTTTCATGCCATACTGATATCATTATTATTGCAGCAACATGTAAAATATCCATATTACTAATGTTATAGTCAGTGGTCGAAGTGAGCCAGCATTCAGGCATTTCAGAGTTAGTTCTATACTTTCTTAGGGAAAATATACAGAATAAGAGCAAACATGGCTTCAGAATGAGTAGTTCTCAACCTTCTCTACACACCTTCAGACAGCTGGATCTGTAGACTATTTTTGGAATATCCTTGAAAGAAGATGGATAAAACTTATTTTATTTAGAATATCAAGAAATCACTGCATGTGAAAGCTATACAGAAGCCTTGATAAGAAACCAAGAATGGCTGAAAGTATGTGTCACTCAGAACTGCTCCTGGCAGTTCTGAGTTTCAATTTTGATCACTGGATAGAAGTTCTTTCTCGCATATGTAAAAAATGCATATTCTTTTACAGAGGAAAATATATAATTTTTGTAGTGTTGATTTTTTTATTACAACACAAGATAATTTGATCTACAAAAGATGACAAAATGCATCAAACAAAAGGAATAGTCCCAGGAAAAGTGGAAACAAAAACTCCAGCTGTTACACTACACCTCTCTGTGCCATACCTCATTATGAAGAAGAGTGCACATGGACTCATCAGAAAAGGCAAATAAGAACAATCATACAATAGGAAAACTTGTTATGTAGTTTTAAATAGGATCTCAAAACAAATGTTCAAACTTTCAAAAATATAATTTGCACATTAATAATTAAAAAAAATAGTTTAGTCCAAACAAAAATGACAAAAAAATGTACAGTAGTTTGACCTAGCTTGAAGGAGAAATCGTAAACCACTGACCATTACCCTTTGGGAATATTGTAGTTAATAAGACAGAATTAATGGCATCCACCTAACACTCATTTTGTGCTCTTGGAGCTTTTATCTCCTTCACATTTTCTATGAAGATTTCTGTGTTTTTTTCTCTTATACCTGTTAGCACCTCACAGAACAGCAGAGGAAAAGGTCTTGGATGATTGTGTAAACAGAGCTCTATAATTCAAAATATAATTGGCGTATAATGCAGTTAATTAAAATTTCACTTTTGTTTTTATGGAAAGATTTTCAAACCTATTTTAGTGTCTAAAAAATCAGTCAGTCTCTTACTGATATTGCAAAGATGGTTAAGAGTCCAGTTTCTGGTGACTTCCATTTGCGTAAGGTAACTGACATGTTCGAGTGCTTTAGAAATCATCCTTTTCCTATTGCGGTGGTCTTATTACTTTTAAAACATTGTTCCTGAATCATTTTTTCAAATGAAGTGTGAGCTTGTAAGGCTTCTACTTCATCAGTATTTGATGTTGCCTACTTACTCACACCAATATATACATATATATGTACGTATATCTATTTCAGTCAACTTTCTGAGCCTCTCTCAGGAAAAAGTTTGGTTCTGCACTTCTCCTGGCACAGTCACCAATATGACTTACACCTGTCCCTGACCTGGGGCTTGGAAGAGGGGCTTTTGCCCCTGGTCAGCAATAAACATGTCCCCTAGTTGAGGGTCAGTTGCTGTCCTCACTGGGTCAGTGCCCACTCAGTGCCTTTCTGAATTTAAAAATAAATAAATCTGCTCCTAATTCAGAAAGGTTGATTTACTTCCCACCTATAAATATAATTTGTTTTCATACTTAAAGACATTGGAGAGACATTCTTTTTTAACATTTCCCATGGTGCACAGTATATAGGAGCAAAAAAAAGATCTTCACAGGATCTAGGAAAAAATAGAACAAGAAATAACAAAGACTGACATGATGAAGTAATAATACATACCTTCATTACAGAAAAGCTGGGGATATTTGTGTATTCTGACAAAATTCTCTTCATATTTTGATATTCTGAGAACAATTTTGGTAATGTGCTAGAGTAGCCCTTCTATAAAGTTGCCATGTCTCACAGGCACAAAGGTTGATTTTTTTTCTCGGAATCTGTAATATATCCAGTGAGAGGGAGACATGCGGACGTGTAAGATACATATAAAAGTAGTATTAACAATAATAAAATGCTGCTCTGTGCATTTAATTTCAACAGAAACTTTCTTAATGTTTAGATGGCTAAGTACAACTTTTGTGTCTCATCTAGATGGCAAAACACAATAAAATTTTTCACTTGATAAAATTTTTCACTTGATAAAATTTCTGGCAATACTGCGATTGTTAATTACAACTCTAAATGAGTGTTCTTCACTGAACAAAACTGACCAACATGTTATCTGTCATATGCAAAATGCATGAAAATGCAATCAATACAATCGGAAGTTTCTCATAAGCTTATTCTCGCTACAGACAGGTTGAAAAATCAGTATCATTCTACAGTGTGGTATGACTACAAAAGGAAAGGCTATATGATGTTTTTGGCTTTTGTGTCACAAGTGAGGGAGGAGGTAGTCACTGGTGATGAAGAGATAACTGAATTGCAAATAAGAAATTCCAAGCAGCATAAATCCATCTCCAGCACTTGCTTCAGTGTGAGAGCTGGCGAAAAGCCTTGCTCAAGGAGAGCTAATCACAAGCTCCCAAGACCTCCCTCCCTTCAGGACGAGTAACGAGGTTACCAAGTGGGAACGCTAAAGGACTCAGAGAAATGGGGTGTCAGATCAGGTATCTCAATTAGATGTATGTTGTAGATATTTTCATACATGGCTAAGATTAATGTTCCTGTAGGCCAAAGCTCACAATCTTAAGAGTTATACCACAAGGGGAAAACACATGACAGCAACTAAATGTGCTTTTAAAAGTAAGCATAGTACAGTCTGGGATGATAAACCCAGAACTAATTTATGCATAAATTCATCATGTTTGTATGAAACTGTTACAGAGCAGGCTAACATGGATGTCTTAATTGAATTTTTAAATTAAAAAATGTATCACTTAATTTAGTCCCTTTAGTTCTTCAGTTTCATAATATTGATCACATCTTGTTTTTGTTTTCTATTAACATTTATTTTTCAGTTTTACTTTTTTCTTTTTTTCTTTTTTTCACTTTGGTTTTTTTTTGGGAGTTTCATTCTAGTTTTTTGTTTGTTTGTTTGTTTTTTTCTCGACATTGATGTTAAATATTTTCCCAGTTTTTCTTTCTTAACTAAGCATACATATTTATACAATTTTATATTACCCACAACTGTAAAGAACATGCATATAATTTTCAGATTTCCTAAATGGCTTAAAACTTGCATTTTTTAAAGATACTAAACATCTAGAGCAGATGATGGGAGGGAGCGCTGCGGGTGCCAAGCCAGGGGCAGAGAATGGGTAGGACAGCCCCTTTGGGCTGTAGCAAGGGCTTGGACCTACATGAGATAACCG